AAGTAGTTGAAGTCGTCGAAGTAGTCGATGACGTCGATGAAGTAGCAGTGGAGTCGATGTCGAAGCAGAGCCGCAAAACGCTGACATCCTGAAGAAGAGATGATGATGGAGTACCTGATGTGAGTCAGTGGGGAAAGATAGAGGATAAGAGTGTCAGTCATCGTAACGCGAAGGGCGACGATGAGTGCGCTGTGGATGCTCGGAGGCGACCGTCTGCGGCTAAGGAACGGCCTCAGAGGGAGCGGGCGCGTCCTCAGCAATCTCCTCAGTCGGAGGAGGAGGAAGAGGGTCAGTCGACTGAGTAGAAGCATATGTCTCAGCACGACGAGCACGATCATATGTACGCACCAACATCTTGGCGTGTTGCAAGTGCTCGAGGGGCTTCCAAGTAGCGTCCTCATTAGGGTAGCCCTTCCAACGCACAAGGTACTCGATGCGTGGAGGGGTATCGTCGCTAACTCGGCGTGATACGATGTCGGAAACAACGAACTCCTCGTGACCGTCCACCATGATAGGTGGAGGGCGCTCATAAGGGCGTCCAGCGAAGCGCTCGGACGGTCTGCGATAAGGACGCAGCAAGGAGACGTGGTAAACATCGTGTACGCGAGCCTGTCGAAGGTAATCAGGTAGCTTCACACGAAAGATGACCGGACTAGCGGCAGTATCAGAACCGACGCCCTGAAGCATGCGGCATGGACCGAAGAAACGACGCCTGAACTTGCGAAGCGTATCTGCTTCGAGCTGTAAGTGGCGTGCGTCGACCAGCACATCGTCACCGACTTTGAATGGATGATCCATTCATGATCGGTTCGCTCGTGCGGTCATGCGAGTCTGGGAGTCGGCTAAACTCTCGTGTGCGCGCTTCATAATCGCCGCCATGTGGGCGATCCATTCGTCAAGCGCAAGGCAACGAGTGTCTGGGCGCAACCGCGATGGTTGTAGGAAATCCGCGGGTACGCGAGGGTGGTAGCCGAGGTCGCAATAGAATGGCGACATCCCCGTGGTTGGCGAAACAGCGTGGTTGTACGCAATCTCCGCGTGGGCTAAGTGTAAGTCCCACTTCTGGTCATCCCTAACAAACTTTCGGAGGATATTACCAAGAGTTTTATTGGTGACCTCAGTCTGACCATCCGTCTGAGGGTGGTAAGACGATGAGAAGCGGAGCTGGGATCCGTACACCTCGTGTAGGCGTCGCCAGAATGTGCTGGTAAAGCGCGGGTCACGGTCGGAGATGATGCTCTGAGGTAAGCCGTGATCTCTCACGACTCGGTCGAAGACGATGTCGGCGACCTCACGAGCGCTAATGCGATAGCGGCACGGGACAAAACGTGCACGCTTCGTGAAGCGATCGATGACGACCAGGATAGCATCATGACCACGCTTAGTGGGTGGGCGAAGGGGACCAATGAAATCCATCGAGATGGACTGCCAATGACCTTCAGGTATGGGTAGGGGCTGAAGTAACCCATACGGAAGGTGGTTCGCACTGTTCACCTCCTAGCAGGTAGGACACTCCTAGATGTAGGCTTTGACAAAGTCCTTGGACTTCGGCCAGACGTATAGGCGGCAAACACGAGCCAACGTCTCGTGGAAACCCATATGACCGACAGCTGCCTGGTCATGGAACTCTGCTACAGCCTGGACGCGGAGCTGTCCGGTGGAGGGAAGGCAAATACGTGGTTCTAGCTGACCAGATCTGCCATGCCAGTACACGAGGCCGTTCTCCCCGAGGGAGTAGGAAGGAACGGTCTTGCCACTCTGCAGTGTCGCGTGGATGGCGCGATAATCGGGGCAGTGGCGGTACTGAGTGCGATACGCGTCGGTCACCGACTGATCAACAGTGGTGATGGAGATGGCAACAAGATGGATGGGTTCCTGATTGTGATCAGGACGGCGGGACAAGGCATCAGCGACGCGGTTCGTTTCACCCTTGATGGGCTGAGTGGTGAAACTGAACTCGAATAAGTCACGCCACCAGCGTGCCTGTCGATGGGAAAGCTTAGGCTTCGTGAGGAAAGCCTGGACAACTGAGTTGTCCGTGCGCACCATGAAGGGCGCCCCGTGCAGATAATGACGCCAATGTCGGGTAAGCATAAACTACTGCGAGAACCTCACGTTCATCGACGGTGTAGTTTATCTCGGCAGGCAGTAGCTGACGGGAGTAGAACGCGATCGGGCAATCCCCAGCCCGAACCTCGACAGTCCCATCCTCCGTGATGGTCGGGGAGTAAGTAACAGGAGGACTGTCAGTGGAGGGAAGTGGTGGGAGGGTAGGCGTCAGTCGAGAAGCAGTGTCAGCAAGAGGGGGGGGGGAAAGAGGAACATGGGGGTAAGGTGAATCTGGAGAAGAGGGAAACACCTGAGAAAGGACAGCTCCTACTGCAAAATCTGACGCATCGGTGGTGACGATAAAGGGACGATCGAAATCGGGAAGGCAAAGAACCGGCGCACACGTCACCACCTTCTTGAGGGCGTGAAAGGCGTCCTCGCACAGTGGTGTCCAAAACCACGGCGGGTTCTTTTGGAGGAGGGTAGAGGTAAGGACGTAGGAATACCTAGCGTATCCCTGGATAAAATTACTATAGTAGCTGGTGAGGCCTAGGAAACTGCGAAGCTGCTTGGCAGATGTGGGGACGGGCCACTCTGCAATAGCAGTGATTTTCGCGTCGTCCATGTGGAGACCCTGGTCAGACACATGGTGTCCTAGAAAGTCCACTTTGCGCTGGGCAAAGCGACACTTACTGAGCTTGGCATAGAAGCCATGCTTGCGTAAGCGCTGTAGGACATCACAGAGGTGTCTGATATGGTCTTCTAAGGTACGACTGTAGACCAAGATGTCGTCCAGGTATACGAGAACGTATTCTTCAAGGATGTCCCTGAAGAGGTCGTTCATCGCCGTCTGGAAGGTGGCGGGGGCATTGGTGAGGCCGAATGGCATCACCGTGAACTCGTAGTGGCCGAAGCGCGATCGGAAGGCGGTCTTCGGTTGATCCTCTGTGGCAACGCGGATCTCGTGGTAACCGCTACAAAGATCAATCTTCGTGAAGAAGCGGTTGCCTGCCAGACGGTCAAACAGCTCATCCGCGCGGGGCATGGGATAACTGTTCTTAACCGTGTAACGGTTAAGGCCGCGATAATCGATGCAGAGGCGGAGAGTTTCGTCCGCTTTGCGAGCAAAGAGGACAGGTGCACCCCAAGGGGAGTTACTGGGTTTAATGAAACCCAGTCGAAGGAGCTCCTCAAGCTGACGCTCGAGTTCCGTCGCCTCTGGGATCGAGAGTCGGTACGGTGCCTGATGGTGAACACGATAGTCAGGCACGAGCTGGATAGAATGCTCAACGCCGCGCATCGGGGGAATCCCGCTGTATGAGAAATCCGGGGGAAAGACGTCGCGGTACTCTCGAATCAGGTCGCGAACGGCCGGCTCTAAGTCTGTCGTGAACCGTGTGAGTTCCTCAGCCTCTGCGTCAGCACGAGACGTATGTGTGGACTCGACAGTCGACGGCGCATGGGCCTGAGACGTGGAGGGGGTATCCGCAGGCTGACGAGTGGATGTAGAGATGGGAGCCGCGAAGATGGAAGGAGGGTCAGGGGGATCGGGCTCCAGAGAGATGAGCTCAACCTCGGGACAGAGTGGATCATAACGAAGAAGATCCATGACGTTCATTGAGTAGAACGTGACGTCCTCCTGTCGTATGAAGTGAGCAAACTGACGAGGGGAAGTGAACGCGATGTTGGGGTGGAACCCTGAGGGACGAGGGTCCTGGGGAAGTAGGTCGGGCGGGGTGTCGCCCGTGGTTCCAATGAACGGGACGCGATGGGTCTGACCACACTTCGTTTTGAGAACGAGTGTCTTGGTCGCCCATTCGGCCTCTATGCCACGGAACCGGCGAGACCAGGGAGTGCCAAGAATAAAGTCGTACCCAGTCTCCACCACATCGAAGTATGCGGAGGAATGGTAGCGCCGAGGCGCCTGGGTACTATTCGGTGGCTGGAGGGTGAGGGAGAAATGGAGGTCGGGGACCGTCTGATCGAAGAAGCGTTGTGTCCTGTTATCTCCGAGGGTAACAGAGATAGGAGAGCGAGACCCAGAGGTAGCTAGGCGAGCTTCCTCAACCACTCGAGGGTGAACGAAATCTCCCTGCGAGCCAGAGTCCCATAAAGCGCGATACACTCTCGTAGATGTCCCTAGGCGAATAGGGATAATGGGGAGGGTACGCTCAGGGTCAGAGAGAAGAGCGGGAAGATGACGCAGAACGTTTACGTGTCTCGTGAGTCGCTCCTGGCGAGCCTGAAGAATGCTCAAATCCAGGAGAGATGACACAACGTCATCGCGAGTCGCCAGTTGAGCGCTACAACGGGTTGTGCGAATGGCGCGACGCGTCGGAAGTCTCGGGGGAGAAGCGCTAGATGCGGCGGTCTGCTGGGAGGCAGACGATACCTCGACAAACGACGGGGCATGGAGAACTGCGTCTGTCATGTCCTGAGGATCCTCTGGTGGGGTAGCCAAAGGGGCAAACCGCGACTCGGTGGTCGGGAAGCCGGCTACAAGCGAGGCCTCAGGGGTACACTGCACCGTGGCTAGCTGGGTGGGGCTGGCCGGGCGGGGCCGGGGGGGGACTGAGATCGGCGCTCACGAGAAATGTCAGCGTAGTACCGATCGAGGGCGGTGTGGTATGGCCACCGTGAGGAGGAGTGTCCATCTTGGCGGCAACGAAGGCAGCCGCATCGGGCCTCAAGGGCGGCACGCTCCTCGGGGGATAGAGCTCCGCGAGGAAGGAAAAAACCCAGCGGGAGGTCTATCTCAGGAACTGTGGGTGTGCGGGCACCAGCCTGTGCAACCCGACTGCGTGCACGACCCATGGCAGACATGGCCATCTGCACGCGCTCGACTATTGGGACAGTGTCGTCATCCAAGTGGTACTGGATGACGTCCCAAAGCTCGATGTCCTCGGGGGCGTCCCCAATGGTAGGATCGAGCTCGGCTAAGGTGTCCTCTCCATACTCGAGAGAACTGTAGTGCCGAGCGAATGGCGCTCCAGGTCGAGCCGGACGACGAAAACGACCAGCAAACGAGGAGCGGCCTCGGGTGGTACCCCGAGACTGGGAGGTGGCGGCTGGTCGCGAAGAGGATGGGGCGACGGAGAAGCGACTGCACATCCTTTGGTACTGACACGCAGCCTCGTATGCCTGCTCCCGGAAGAGAATGATCGCCTCCATAGCTCTAGGCGGTAGTCAGTCGGCACGCTGACAAGGAACCGGTCGGTGAGTGTGACATCCGGTAGGAACGTCTCGTCACAAACAAGGCGAGCGTCCTGAAACACCCGGATGTGACGCTCCAAGTCGGCCGGTACAGAGGACCCGGACCATCTGGTCTGGGTGACGCGGTCTAAGGCGTCGGTGGCGTCATGACGAGCGCCGAAGCGGTCCTGAAGGAAGGCCGCGAAGTCGGCCAGAGTGGGGACCTCACCCACTCGGAGGCGCTGGGTATAATGATCCTCCCGCGCAGTGGAACGGCTACCTCGCAATTTGGTTGCGAGCACATGGCACCACAACTCTTGACGGGTGGTCGTCATAAAGAGTGTACGTGTTGCTATCTGCAACCAGCGAGAAACACGGGATATGCCATCATACTCGGGAATGTCCGTGGTGCGCACAGGAGGATGTCCATTGTGCTGATGGCGGGGGGAGAGAGATCGAGGCGAGTGCACTGCGGCGGCGTAAGTCGAGGCCGCTGCTGGGGCGGAGGTGGGGGAAGGCTGTGGGTCGTTGCCGCTGGCTGATGGACCAGCAGACGAGGAGGCAACGACCGCGGGCAGCTGTCCCGGAATAGCCGGGTAAGAGGGAAGAGGCTGAGGAGCAGGTCGAGGGAAACGAGCCTGCATCATGGGGACCGAAGGGGTGGTCGAGGAGGAAGGGTGGGCAGCCTGTGATGGGTGAGGCTGTCTCAAAGCGAAAATCTCCGCTTGAGCCTGCGCGATGGTGGCCTGTAAAGTGGCCACTCGCTGGGTGCGAGGGGTCGGAGGTGGAGGGGGCGGAGCGGGTCTCCCAGTGGGAGAAGGAATCCCAGCCTGGGCGGTACCCTGCTGTAGGGGCGGGGGGACGAAGGCAGGAAGAAGAGGGCGAAGCCGTATTGCCGCGACCGGTGCGGGAAGCTGGGAAGCAACACCGGTGTGGGTCGATGAAACTGCTGGGCCAGAAGGCGGTACCTGGACCGCAGCACCTACGGCAGTAATAGACATGGTAGGGGCGGTCGTGGCCAGAAGAACTGCCGCAATAGACGGGGTGGTCTGAGCGGCAGAGGAGGGGGAGTGTTAGGCCTGGCCCGCAGAGGAGGGGGAACCATGGTGACTCCGTCTCCAGAGTCCTGGGGAGCCGGAATCGGAGCCGGAGGGGTGCCCTTGAGGCGGTTGACGTCGAGGGCTAGCGCATTGATTTGCGCTTGCAACGGTCCAAGCGTACTAAGTTGTGCCTCGATTGCTATAAGGACGGCATGAAGGTCCATGGTGTCTGCATGGGCCTGATCATGAGCCGTTGACGACGCGCTGACCTGGGGTGTGGACTGCACCGCGGCGATCTCCTCGGATGAATTCCCTTCCATGGCCGAAAGGGGAATGGAGGTAGTCCTCAGAGGAGTGTGTGGGAAAAGGGGCCCACCGGTAAGAGGAAGGGGACCGCGGGAGCGGAGTGAGTATCTGTGAGTCGGCTCGCCTCGGATTTTGCGGATCGCGCGTGAGGGGGGAGGAGCCGTCCAAGTCCAGGGTGCCCGACGGGAGGAGGCGGGAGAGTAGGAAGGGGGGCGGGAGTTAGGAGAACCCTAAACCCTAGAAAACCCTAAGAAAACCCTAACCGGAGTTTAGGTGGTTAAGGGAGGGTAGCGGCGACCTAATCAAGGAAAAAGATAATATGGAGGGGAGGGGGAAAGAAAATAGAATAAACAATAAAATTTCGAGATAAAAATAAAATAAAAATAAAAATAAAAATAAATAAAGAAATAAAATGTAAAGAGCGAGGGAAAAGGACTTGTTTATTTTTTTGAAAATTTCGGCAGCATTTTATTACCCCAACGGGGTCAAAATGTGCAAAGAGAAAGGAGAGACTAAGAGAAGCACACTAGTTTTTACAATGCCGCAAACTAAAATTTTCAGAAAAATAAGTAAATAAACAAATAAATAAATAAATAAATAAGGAGGTGGCGGAGAGAAGAGAAACTAACCAAGTTTTGGATTTTTCACAAATTTCGGCAGCACTTCGTTACCCCCACAGGGTCAAAATGTGTGCCGAAAGCAAGAATGGCTAAGTCCTAATCATATTTTAGGGTGCCGCAAAAAAATTCGAATTTTCAAAATAAATAAAGGAAAATAAAATTAATCAGAACGATGAGAAAAAAAGTAGGGAAGAAGATAATTCGAATTTTTGGAGGCACGGAGAAAATTTAAATTAAAAAAAAAAAGAGAAAAGAAGAAAAACAAAAAAAATCGAAGTGGGGGGGGGGGGGGG